TGCACATTTATGCTGTCTACTCAAAGAGAGGACGAGCTCGGGGCCACACTCGTCGCCAACGTTTTTAATGAGAGCTGGAAATCGAGAAAACTATTCCCCTCCGTGCGCCCCCGAAAGCCGCCGCGATCATCTGAATTCCTCTGCGTCGGTTCGATCCGCCGGCGAGCGAGGAGCAATCTGAATATTAGTGAAGGAATAAATATTGTTATGCATATAATATTTATTACCGGCACAGGAGAATGTCGTCCCCTAGTAATTTCCGGACCGTCGAACACACAAACGCTTTGTAGAGGCAGATTCCGCCGCAGATGTACGGAAAACACGGTGGAGCGTTGCCCCGAAAACGCGATTGAACCCGAGCTCCGAGAACTTTTGCGGGTCGAAGTACGTGAAAACTCATACGGAGCAACGCCAGTCAAGAGTGGGTTTTCGAATTTTAAGGTTGCAAATATTTACCCTTTGCTCCATAGGGAAATGGAGAAAGACGACCTTGGAAAGGCGCAGGTGCGGCTTAGACGCCGCGGGCACATGAGAGTAGACCTGAGGGGTAGGACTTCACAATTTGCACCTAGAATTCTTCAGTTGCAAGTACAGCATTTTCCTGTCGTGTTTGTTCCTCTTCGTAGTCCGTGTTTCCTCAACTGTTTTCCCCATCATGTATAACGTCAACCAACTGGCCCAGTTCTCCACCTTATTAAAGGGTAGTTACATATACTCAGCAATCCAGTGCAAAACACATTCCCTGGAATACTTTTCTGCAAGACCTCTGGAAATATGGTGGTGCCCGTGGTGGACGAAGGGCGAGGCACACAACAAGACTGTGCAGAGGACCTGCTGGAGCGTATTGCCGACCTCTACGAAGCACCGGATCCAAGAGGATGTGTGGACACGGTGCTCGTAGAGGACGTGCAGTGCGCAGACAGCCCTGCATGCACCTCCAGTGCTGCCAATGGGACCTCTTCGGAATGTGTTGAGATGCCAGCGAACCCCAGCACTGCTCCCAACCCACGAAAAAAAGCAACGAGCTTTTGTAGTGCTCAAAGCAAGCCCCCACCCCCCAAAAAAAGTGCAGGATGCAGTCGCGGAAGAACTCGAAGACATTAATGCTAGACTAAAAAGATTATAAGGGATAGACTTACACGAATACTTCCTGCTGTCGCTGGCGGACCCAATGCAGCAAGTCGACCCCTCACAGGTCCTAGCCTTGCGAGTAGCGTTTTTGAAGCTGATAAAAGAATACATACCAGGAGCTCCAAACAATGGCTAAGAGCTTTTTTTTTCTTCTTCTTTTTGGGATGTCTGAGAAAGCAAGTATTTGACATAAGCCTATGTTAAGTATTTTTCCTATGTTTTAACATCTTTTTGTTCTACATTTTTAACATTTTCTAGCACATGTTTAGTGTTTTCTCCAATATTCTTCATACAAGTGTGTGCAAATTCTGGTGTGTGCCATATATTCTGGTTTATAGTGCCCATACTATACATGCCTAAAAGTTGAAAAGTTAGCCAGTGCAGACTATATAAATTTTTTTCTAGATTGTCCACTGTGGCAAGACATGAGATTTTATGAATAACAGAGTATATTCATGTTGTTTTATGTATGATACAAGCTTCTTCGTAAGCTAATACTGCAGGGATTTGTGAAGGGGTGCTAGGTACAATACTTTTAAGGCGCTAGCCCTGGCACATGAGCTGACCTCGGATGGTTTTTTTACATTTGGATTAGGCGCTGAGTGTAAACTATAGCTTAGAAAATATGGTAATTTTTTTTTCGTTGGGGGGGGAGGGTGGGTAAGGTCTTGGCAAGCTGCATTTTGGTGGCTGTTTGCTTGCATACTTGTAACATTTAAATAACAATAAAGAAAGGGAAGTGCAAAATTTTCTTTATTTTACAGAACAAAGAGGAGGATCCTTAAAACTAGAAAGGACAAGACATGGTCCAGTTCCGAGGGCAAAGTCTTGCAACTGGAGCAAAGACTGCAAACTATACAGAATTCACTAAAAATACATTCAACAGCCTTAATAATACCTGGAAATGCAGCTAACAAAAGTAAGAAATTGTTATAAGCTTTCCCGAGTAAATCGAGGGACAGGAAGAAATGAACACCATCGTTCTCAACGTGCGTGTGCAGGCAGCTAGAGATGCCAGACACTTCTTGTCTTTATTCTCGCGCCACGGATGCATGGCGCCGCTAGCATCATCATCACACTCCTCCCCTTTTTATACGAAGAAACAACAATACTGTCTCACAACCTAGACGTCAAAGTTCGGGTCACTATGGTCTAAGGCCTGTAACGATGTACTGGCTTTTTTACTCTCGTAGAGCGCAGCTTTTGGGGACTACTCGGAGTTTGGACGGTTGGCAACGTCTGGCATGAAACTTCCCGAGTTCGAGGAGGTCCTATGTCATGGTGTGCTGTTGTTGGTCCATGATGATCTTCGTTCCCGGAAGATCCGGTTGACCTGTCTCGTTCAGCTGTGGAGTCGGTTGCCCCGTGCTCTCTGTAGGGTGTCACAGGTGGACGATGATGTTCTCGAAGATGGTCACCATGACGGTTCCAACGAGTCCCATCTCTCAGTTCCACTTGCACAGATGATGAACTCGATGGTTGTATAACAACCCCAGGAAGCCATTAAGGCCCTGACCTGAAATTTCGGGCAAACACTTTTTGACCATGCTGAGGTAGAGGGCCTTTGCGTGCTCTTTGGTCACAGAATAACTTTTGCTTCAGCTGCTTCCAGAGTACTTCACTCCGCATGTCCGGATGTAGAAGGTCTAGGGCTGTCTTTAGCCTTCTGCCCATTAGCAGCTCTGCTGGACTATGACCTGTTAGTGAATGCTTTGTAGTTCTGTATGTCAGAAGCATCCTGTCAATCTTGGTCTGAAAATCTCCAGATGACGCTTTCTTCAGCATTCCTTTCACGGTCTGCACGACGCGTTCCGCAGCTCCGTTTGATGCTGGGGGGTAAGGGGGAATCAGCATACGTCGGATCCCATTGCGGCTCAGGAATTCGCTGTACTTGTCGCTTACGAATGCCGGACCGTTATCCGAAACGACAATATCTGGTAGACCGTGTGTCGAAAAGATGTTCCGAAGGCATTTGATCGTAGCATCAGCAGAGGGTGACGATACCGGTATGACCTCAACCCATTTCGAGTATGCGTCGACCAATACCAGGAAATAACGTCCTTGGAATGGACCACCAAAGTCAACATGTAAGCGGGACCATGGCCGTTCTGGAAACGGCCACGGGGTTGACTGTACTTTTTGATCGGAACGGTGATGTTTTTGGCATTCACGACAATCTTGAAGCTTTGCCGTGATACAGTGGTCTAGCCCATCCCACCAGACGTGACTTCGTGCAATGGACTTCATCTTCTCCACTCCTGGATGACTTTCGTGCAGTAACTGAAGTACTTGCTCTTGTAACCTGAGTGGGATGATCACTCTTGATCCCCACAGTAAACAGTCTTCTTGGACGCTGAGTTCTGTCAGCTTTGTTCGAAAAGGCGACCACTGTGGTCCTCCTGGGAGATCGCTACCGGACCACAGTGCTTGTCTCACTCGTGACAACACTGGGTCAGTCGCGGTATGCTGTGCAACGACTGCGGCGGAGAGAACAGCAGGGTACGCCGCTTCCAACATGAGTACATCAGCTGGCCGCGGAAGTTGGAAGTTGTCCACTGGTAACGGTAAGCGACTCAACGCATCGGCGTTACCTATGCTCGGGCAGGGTCGGTAGACCAGCTTGTACTTGTACGCTGCTAGTGTAATTGCCCAACGTATGACTCGAGGTGATCCTCTCTCTGCAATGGCTTTGTCAAGGCCCAGAAGTCCAAAGAGCGGTTTATGGTCAGTGACGGCTTCAAACTGGTTACCCCAAAGGTACTGATGAAACTTCGTCACTCCGAAAACGAGTGCCAAGGCTTCCTTATCAAGCTGACTGTAATTTTGCTCAGCTGGTAGGAGGCTTCTCGAGGTGAAGGCTATGGGACGTTCCTATCCCCTTGAATCTCGATGGGCAAGAACAGCGCCGAGTCCGTAAGGAGATGCGTCACAGCTGAGGATGATCCTTTGTTAGGATCAAAGTGTTGAAGTACTGCTGCAGATGTCAAGAGCTCTTTACTCTTGTGAAAAGACTTCTCCTCTTGTTGCCCCCATCGCCATGATGTATTCGCAGCGAGCAGGCGGTACGACGGTTGAAGTACTGAGGACAAGTTGGGAAGGAAACGCCGGTAATAGTTGACGAGTCCAAGGTAGCTTTGAAGCTGCTTGAGGTCAACTGGTCGAGGCGCATTTAGGACAGCTTCTACCTTGCCTGGCGTTGGCTTCAGTCCTCCAGCTTCAATCACATGCGCAAGGTATTCCACCTCGGGGGCCATAAATGTGCATTTTTCAAGCTTGAGCTTGAGACCTGCGTCCTCTAGACGCTGCAGCCCTTGTTCAAGATTTTTAGGCGGTCTTTGTCATTGAGTGCAGTCACGAGAATATCGTCAAAGTATACGACGACGTGTTGCATATCCTGCAGTAGGTTTTCCATTTCTCTCTGGAAGATTGCAGGAGCCGAGGATACTCCAAATGGTAGTCTGGTATATTGAAAAAGTCCTTTTGGAGTGTTGATGGTGACAATCTTCTGACTCTCAGGCTCGAGCTCCACCTGTTGGTATGCGTCCTTCAGGTCCAGTTTCGTAAACTTGACGCCTCCTGAAAGTTTGGCCCACAGATCTTCCAACTGGGTACCGGGTACTTTTCGAGAATGGTTGCAGGATTTACAGTAACCTTGAAATCACCGCAGATCCGCACTCGGCCGTCACGCTTTAGAACAGGCACGATCGGTGCTGCCCATTCAGATGTTCTCACAGCACAGATAATTCCATCGCGCTGAAGTCGTTGCAGTTCTTGAGCAACCTTGTCCTGTAACGCAAACGGAATCGTGCGAGGCTTGAAGAACTTGGGCCGCGCTCCCTCTTGAATGATGATCTTAGCTTTCACGCCTTTCAGCGTACGTAGTCCGTCGGAAAAACTTCTTTGTGATTTTTCAGAACTGCTTCCATGCTGGATGCAGTGGTAACTTCTTTCACATCGGCCAAACTTATTCCAACGGCGTTGATCCAACCTCTTCCAAGGAGTGTAGGAGTCTGATCACGTGCGACATACAAAGGAAGCGTTGCTTCTTTGTCTAGAAATCGAACTGGTACGACAACCTTTCCTTGAACCTTAGAAAGGTCACCGCGATAGCTTCTTAGGATGACATCCAAAGGTTCACATTGAAGCTCTGGAAATTCTTCTACCAAAGTTCTTTGTCCGATGATGGAGACGCTGGCTCCGGTGTCCACTTCTAGCCGAAGTGGTTTCCCCGCCACTTCCAAAGTAGTAACATATGGAGGTGATGATATGGAGGATTTCAGTGACCACATGTTGTACGTCACGGGTGGCTGACTCGTGGACGACTGTTCGGAATTGTCAACAGCATAGACAGAACGCTTGTGAGCGTTTTTCTTCTGTCCGGAATTGTTGGATTGGCCTTGCTGCTTTCTTGATTTGCACACACTGGCAAGGTGTCCCGTCTTGTGGCATGCGTTGCACTTTGTTTTCGAGTGCTTCCACACAGACGCATAATGAGGCCCTCCACAACGATAGCAAGTGATGCTCTTCGATGAAGCTTCTTTGACCACGTTGATAGCTTCGGACGCCACTTGACATTTTCCTTGTTTCATTAGCAAGTTCGAATCGTTCTTCGCAGTTTCCATCGCTAGTAGAAGCTGTATCGCAGACTCGAACGTGAGATTGGGCTCTTCAAGCAACCGTGTCTGCATTGTGGAGTCATTGATGCCGCAGACAAGTCTGTCGCGAAGCATGTCATTCAGGAATGTTCCGTACTCGCAGTGCTCGGTTAGTTTCTTGAGTGCGGCAACATAGTCGCTCACAGATTCTCCCGTGTGTCGACATCGGCTGTTGAACTGGCAACGGGTGACTACCACAGAGGGTTTTGGGGTGAAGTGGTTGCTGAGAGCGCCAAAAATATCCTCTATGCTCACTTCGTTAGGAGCCTTGGGGGTCAGAATGCTCCGCAGAATGGAGTACGTTTTAGCACCACAGGACGTCAGAACAACTGACCTTCTTTTTGCAGTAGGAATGTTGTTGGCCTCGAAGAACAGCGCGGTGCGTTCCATGTACTCTAACCAGCCCGCTGGTTCCCCGTCAAAGACTTCCAGGGTCCCGTACTTCGGCATGGTGGAGCTGAACACGGCTAATGCTTGCCGTAAGGAGATAATACAGGTTTTACCCTCGTCGCCAGTTTGTTATAAGCTTTCCCGAGTAAATCGGGGGACAGGAAGAAATGAACACCATCGTTCTCAGCGTGCGTGTGCAGGCAGCTCGAGATGCCAGACACTTCTTGTCTTTATTCTCGCGCCACGGATGCATGGCGCCGCTAGCATCATCATCACAGAAATGTTACAGGTGAAAAAATAAATTGACATAAAGAGGCAAGAAAAATTCAAACATAGGTTTCGTTTCACAACGCTGAGCACACCAAAATCGTCAATCACTAGCTAAAACAGCTGTAAAACAAGATTTGCGTCCGTGCTTGCACAGCGGAATCTGAGAAATTGGTGCGTGTTTAATGAGCCATTCCAGTTAGGACTTCGAAAGAGTTCCAGTGATGGAAGTGCGGCGCCCTTTTGCACCATAATCGAAAGTCTGCTACATCTTGCGCTGCAGTGACATTTTTGCTAAGAATTTCGCCACACCTGCACAAAAATAAGCGAAGCAAAAAAGTGTATTGCTTAGTTATTAATTAGGAAAGTAGGAGGCACGGAAAATAATACAAATGTCGATTTCAGAGCATCTGTACTCGCCACATAGTTTGTTTTATCTTGGTTGAAAGTACTATCGAAGGCTCGAACACACGAAAACATGAACACACTAAAAGCACAAGTCACGGGACATTTGCTACGGCTGCACTTGATTCATTTAGTCAACGAAAGACCACGCCAGGAAGATTGACGAAGCCATTGACGTTGGTTAGTCCCATTGGCTCGTAGCTGCGGCTGCACTTCAAAGGGAAACTGGGGCGGTTCTGTATTTCAATAAAAACATTTAAATCGTCTTCATTTCACCTCCAGGATCACGAATACAGAGATTACTTTACAATTTGGTGCACGGAGGTTACAGCAAATCATTTTCAATCTACCGCAGAAGCCCTCCTTCCCAAATTGTTGAATCATGAAAGGAGTTTTCAGAATTTCCAGTGCCTATCAAAGGTATGCACGCACGCATTTCTTGTTTCCAAAAAAGGTAAAAGACGTCGCGTCTCATGTCAGTGCAGGGGAATATACCTGGCAAGCTTGCAACTGCAAGCGCTACCCACATGAGCGACACGGACTTGGCGGCCGAAATATCACTCTACGATACAACGACTGGTTTGCAGCACGTTTGGTTACAACTTCGGGGAAACCGAACGTGAGCTTCAAATTCACGAATAAAAATAATCTAGAATTTACCTCTAACTCGATTTTCTTAAGAACCTCTTCAGCTTCCCTTTAAGGTGAAACGAAGACTTGAGATTACTCGTCAACCGCGCTGGTAGGTTGATCTGCTGGGGCATTGATTGCCGACATATTCTAAATTTCCAGACAATGTCAGTGATGTGAGGAACTAAAAGTTGCGAGAAAACACTGCCAAATTGTACGATGGTGACTGCTGTGAGGAGAGAGAACCAGGGTCTTGTACTCCTGAGGATATAATTTAATCATCATGCCTGCCGCATGCCTCCGTGCGCCTCTCACCAGCGGACACGTGCCAAGCTTCACCGCTTTGCACCGTAGTGCGAGGTGCAGCAGCTGACATGGGTGAGCTGCCGGGTTAGCACTATAGGCTCATTAATTATGCTCAGTATTAGTCCAGGTCTACTTTTCCTTCTTTTGTCTTAATGATAAGCTAATCTTCATTAAAAAAAAAACTGCTTTCATAAAAAAAAGTGGGTCTATATGCGAACACATAGTAGTCAAGGTTGTTGTTCTGAAGCTTTCGATAGAAAAAAACATCAGACTTTCACCTTTCGCTGGTTCCAACGCCGCTAAAAAAACATGTCACTTGCACCAGTGTAGGCTTTCATAATATTTGGCGGTGGTTGGTTTGGCAGTTTGTAATAATGAAGTCTTAAATTTGGTAGGTTTATAAAACTTCGGGGATGCATGTCTTGTTGATAGACAAGCTGGTTTTTGCAACCATCTTACAGAACTTACATACACAGGTTAAAGAAACTACCAGCTGCAAAAGAGTGAGGAGAGAGAAGATTTATCCCAACTGAAGTGTTGCACTCAGACTCAGACTCATTTTTCATCAATTCTTTAGTACCCATTGTAAATGGAACCTTCTCTGACTAGAGGCTCATTTCCAAAAAAAAAAAAAAAAACGCTGTATCTTCCTTTGCTGTCTTATTCATTCTCATTTCAAAAGATTCTAAATTTTATGCTCCAGTATCACAGAACCTTCAGTCATTATCAAAGATGAACTCATTTAGCGATGCAATCAGTTTTTTTTTTATTTTCAAGTGATGCGCTAACTGATGTTGGCATCTGCTCCAAAAGAATCAATGACTTCCCCAAACTAATGTTTTGTCTGCTAAAGAACCTGCTACAAAACGTTGAATGCCACTTTCATCACTGGAGCTCTTAACGATTCTTCCAACACCAAATCTGGAACATGGCTTTACCTTATCATTGCACCTTTCTGCACGAGACCTCTCTGGATATTTTCTTTGTCTACACCAGGCAACTCCCACTGCCACTTCACCTTCCCTGGTGGACTAGAGAAGTAGTGGGTGTATACTTCTCTAGCTGCCCCAGCCTCATCTGAGAAGTTGCGAGAAAATGTCGGCTGCATCGAGAAGAGCAGCTTCTTCGAAGCCTCCGACGTTTCCGCTCTCCAGGACTCTTCTGTAGTGTTCCCGAAACAAATCGTCTTTATCTGCATAGCCTTCGGGATGCTCGCGGTGTTCCAGCAGGTAGTTGTGCAACACGCACGTGGCCTTGATGACGTAATCCAGATTTTATGGAATCAGGTTGATCGTCCTCAACAGGATTCTCCACCGAGCCGCCATTATGCCGAAGGCATTTTCAGCGCACCTTCTGTGGGGTGGAAGAATGAATGTGGACAGATTTTTTAATTCATGTTGTCACAGTTGTTGCTACATGTAATATAAGCTAGCCAACTAGTTATCTGGGCATACCTTCCTCGGCTGAGCCTGTAGTTGAACGCCCGCTTCTCCCCGGTCAGGTCCTTGGCGGGATGTGGCCGCAGAAAATCGGGCCTTAGCTGAAATGCTTCGTCCCCGACGAAGACGTGAGGGGCCAGTCGAGGATCTTGGCACCGGGGGAGCTTGCCCAGGTCGGAGAGGTTGAGGATGCCGTTTTCGAGGGCTTGCCCAAAATCAGATACCTTGAAGATTCCCCCATCGCTCTGCCGTCCCTCGGCCCCAACGTCGATTAAAACGAAGCGGTAGCCACTATCGGCAACCGCCATCAGCACAATGGATAAGGTGTGCTAAAAAGAGAGGTGTTGTGGTTAACAAAACTGCTCATGATAATATTACACAAAGTATCACATGTTTGCCTAACTTCTGCTTAAAGATGGTCAATTGAATGATGTTTCCATATTCATCATTATTTGCAGCTGCAGTGCCACAATCATTTTCAGATATCATCAAGCTAACCATTCCTTTAGTATTCCTTATTCCAATGCCGACTCGTGCACCAATTAACTCTAAAGCGTGGTTTCAAGCCTTTAGCAGAAGCTATAAGTGCGAGCACCATGCTTTCATCGTCGCTGCCAAGCACGCGCGCTCGTGCGGTACAAGCACTGTTGAGGGCTACATGCTTGCGCCTGTAGCATCTGCTGCGTCTGGACTTAAAGGGGCCCTGCAATGACTTTTTTCCTAATTTTTAATTTGCACCGAACCTGAGCGCACTGAAGGTAGTGACTTAGTGAAACTTTTCTTTTCTCGAAATTCCCTTTGTTTTAAAAGCTATAGGCAAATTAATATTACAAAAACAAGCAAAAAATAACCTCCCTCGTGACGTCCTTGGTTGCTTGAGAGTGGCCGTGAACTAGAGGAGAAATAGTGAGCTCATCGAGCGCTCATGGCTGCCGCACTCCGAGTCGACGGCACGAGAGGGCGCCATTGAAGCGTGTTCTGGATAGGCTGTATGCAGCGGGCAGCCAGAACGGCTCTCATTGCATTTGCTGCGCGATTAAATACTAATTCGGCATGACACTTCATTGGCCACAAACGACAGCAAACACGGGGTAAAGATCAGTTCAGAATGGGAGGTACTTTGCGCTGCCATACCGCGAAACGGCCAAACCGCAAGACTAACGGCCGTATTCTTAAACGGGCCTCGACTCGACACCACCTCGACTCACTGGAGTGGAGGAAAGCAGCTCGCCTCCACTCGAGGAGCCATCGGGCTTCACAGACGCGCCTCGGCGTTCCCTCGGCTGAGGAGCTCCTCGAGAACACTTCCTCCACTCGAGGAAACTCGAGGAGACGTGAAAGGCGTCTGGTTACGAGGTTGTAGTAAAAAGTTAAGTTGAAAACATTATTGTGGTGTGAATTATGAACATGTTAGTTCATTTTATTTGAAGGGACACATTTTACTAACATTGAATTGGGAGTCTGCAAGATTTCTGCTTCGCAGCACGCATGTTTTATGCGTTGCGGCCGGTTTTCGGACAAACAGCCACA